TCTCAGCCTTTGCTTCCATGATACACTCTACCCTGGATTACGATCACCTTCACCAACAGGACTTTTGAAGGTGATGCTGGCAATAAATAGTAGTAGTTCTTGTAGTCTGGAACTCCAGAAAGCAAATGGCGATAGTGAAAAAAACATCTGGGGGTGTGGGGGTGGGAGAGGGGGAAAGAAGAAGAGGGAAGAGATTAGGACCTGATGTAGAAAGGCACAAAAGCGTCTACACAGCCAGGCATGGGGTGTCTTAGGGTTTCGTTGCTGTAAAGAAACAACATGACCACAGAAACTCTCTAAGAGGCCAACGTTTAATTGGGGGTGACATACAGTTTCAGAGGTTCAATCCATTATCATCATGGCTGGAAACACAGTAGCACGTAGGCAGACATGGTGCTGGAGAAGGAGCTGAGAGGTGGATCTTGTCCTCAGTTTGCAGAGAGCAACCCTCTGTCCTAACATCATCCTGTGTTGTTTGGAAATCTCCATGGAACTCCCTCAGCCAACAACTCAACTGGTGAAACCCAGTCCCGCCACTGGGAGTCTTGCCTGGCTATGACAGATGCCCAGTTCAGACTCCTTATCCCTCCTTACCAGAACTCCTCATTAGGTTCACCCTCACAGATTCCAGGAAGTTTCCACTGAACTAGATTTCCACAGTGCCCCCCAAATGCTCCCCAATTCAGTCTCTCACACTCTTCGCCTGTCCTGTTCCCCAATATATATCTGATCCCTCCTGCCCCCACCTCCACCAGGTCCACCTACAAAATCTATTCTATCCCCCCCCCCAGGATATCGACCTATCCCTCCTAGAGCCTTTCTCTTTACCTAACCTCTCTGGGTCTACAGACTGTAGCTTGATTATAGTTTACTTAACAGTCAATACCCACCTATAAGTAAATACATACTACATTTGTCTTTCTGGGTCTGAGACACCTCACTCAGGATGATTTTTACAAAGTCCATCCATTTGTCTGCAAATTTCATGTCTTTTTTTTATAGCTGAGTAATACTTCATTGTGCAAATGTACCACATTTTCTTTATCCATTCTTCAGTTGAGAAACATCTAGGTTGTTTCCAGTTTTTGACTGTTATGAATAAGGCCTCAATGAACATAGTTGAGCAAGTGTCCTTGTGGTAGGATGGAGTGTCCTTGGGGTATATGCCCAACAGTGGTATAGCTGGGTTTTGAGGTAGAAAATTCCCAATCTTCTGTAGAACAACCATATTGATTTGCATAGTGGCTGTACAAGTTTGCACCCCAACCAGTAATAGAGGAGTGTTCTCTGTGCCCTAGGTCTTTACCGGAATGGGCTTGTGTTGTTGATCTTAGCCATCTGACAGGTGTAAGATGGAATCTTAGTTTTGATTTGCATTCCCCTGATGGCTTAAGGATGTTGACTATTTCTTTAAGTGTTTCTCAGCCATTTGAGATTCCTCTGTTGAGAGTTCTCTGTTTAGATCAGTGCCCATTTAATTGGACTGTTTGTTTTGATTGTAGTTTCTTGAGTTCTTTATATATTTTGGATATTAATCCTCTATCAGATATGGATCTGGTAAGAAAATATTTTCCCACTCTGGAAGCTGCCACTTTTCCCTATTGATGGTGTCCTTTGCCTTACAAAAGCTTTTCAGTCTCATGGGGTCCCATTTATCAATTATTGATCTTAGTGTGCTTTGGGGGTTCTGATCAGGAAGTTGTCTCCTGTGTTAGTGCATTCAGGGCTATTCCCCACTTTCCCTTCTATCAGGTTCAGTGCATCTGCTTTTATGTTGAGGTCTTTGATCTGCTAGGACTTGAATTTTGCACAGGCTGGTAAGTATGGATCTATTTGCATTGCTCTACATGAAGACATTTAGCTTGACCAGCACCATGTGTTAAAGATGCTGCTCTTTATTTTTCATTGTATAATTCTGGCTTCTTTATAAAAACTCAGGTCTCCATGGGCGTATGGACTTATGTCTTGGTCTTCAGTTCCATTTATCAACCTGTGTTTTTATGCCAATCCATGCGGTTTTTATTATCATTATAGCTTGAAATCAGGGATGCTGTTATCTCCAGCAGTTCTATTGTTGTTCAGGATTATCTTAACTATCCTGAGTTTTTGTGTTTTTCCATATGAAGTTGAGAAGTGTCCTTTTAAGGTCTGTAAAGAATTATCTTGAGATTTTGATGGGGATCGCACTGAACCTGTAGCTCGCTCCTGGGAAGACGGCTGTTTTTACTATGTTGATCCTACTGATCCATGAGCAGGGCGATCTTTTTATCTTCTGAGGTCTTCTTCAATTTCTTTCTTCAAAGACTTGAAGTTTTTGTCATACAAGTCTTTCATTTGCTTGGTTAGAGTTACCACAAGGTATTTTATATAATTTGTGGCTATTATGAAGGGTGTTGTTTCCCTGATTTCTTTCTCAGTTCTCTGTCATTTGTATATAGAAAGGTTTGGTTCGGTTCGGTTCGGTTTGGTTTGGTTTTTTTTTGAGTACTGATTTTTTTATAGTCAATCTTGTATCCAGCCACTTCATTAAAGGTATCTATCAGCTGTAGAAGTTCCCTGGTAGAACTTTTGGGGTCACTTATGTCTACTATCCTATCATCTGCGAATAGGGACACTGACTTCTTCCTTCCCAATTCCTATCTCCTTGATCTCCTTTAGTTGTCTTCTTCTCTATCTGGAGCTGTAAGTACTATATTGAGTAGATATGGAGAGTGGACAGCCAGTCTTGTTCCTGGTTTTAGTGAAACTGCTTTGAGTTTCTTTCCATTTAATTTGATGTGGGTTATAGACTTCCTGCAAATTGCCTTTATTATGGTTAGGTATGTCCCTTGTATCCCTAATCTCTTCAGGACTTTTATCATTAAGGGGTGTTGGATTTTGTCAAAGGTCTTTTCAGCATCTACTAAGAAGATCAAGTGGTTTTTTTTCTTTCAGTTTGTTTATATGGCAGATTACATTTATTGATTTTCATATATTGAAACATTTCTGCATCTCTGGGATGAAACCTACCTGATCATGGTTGATGATCTTTTTGATGTGTTCTTAGGATCGATCTGCAAGTATTTTATTGAGTATTTTTGTATCTATGTTAATAAGAGAAATTGGTCTGTAATTCTCTTTATTGAGTTTTTTATGTGGCTTGTGTATCAGGGCAACTGTGCCCTCAGAAAATGAATTGGGCAACATGTAAGGGGTTAACCCCCTCCAAGTCAGTACAAAACACACCCAGACACCAAATTCCTAATACAAAGATTTATTACCCTGGAAGGGCAAGCAGAGGGTTCTGCTTTTGGATAGGACAAAGGCAGACATAGAGCAGCAGCAGATGTTTTTGCAGGAGTGGGTTTTTAGGGGGAAGGGAGAGTCTGTGCCAGAGTGAGTTGGTAAGTCCTGATAGGACATGCTAGCCAAATAATCAATTTTGATTGTTGGGCTTTGGTATTTTGCCTCAAGAATGAGTCAGTGGCCAAATATAGGAATTGACTTTGTGGGCTAGCTTTACGTAATCTAATGCTTTTTAGCAAGAGAGGGGAAGAGAAGGGTAAAGGACAACCATTGTTGCCATGTTTGCTGTTCTCGGACCTACCTCAGAGCCCTCCATTCCAATCTTCTTGCTTTATTATGGGACCACTTGGTGTTGGACCAGTGGGTGTCATTGTCTCCAGTTGCCTTTTGCTGACATTGGGGAACCATTGTTAGGATCCATTGAAACTGGAATGTTTGTCAAGGTCTGGATGAGCAGGCTGTTTCATTCAATGTCCAGGTTCTGCCGGACCCTTCTGGGGCTAGGGAAACTTAGGCGGTGTTGGAGCAATTTGTGAGGCAATCTGAAGCAAGTTGCTTTGGAGTCATTTAGGATGCAGATTCTGAGGAAATGCCTGGAGCTGGCAAGTTTCTGGAGACGTTTGTAGTTGATTTGAAATCTAGAAGGACAGATAGACTAGAGACAGAAGGTAAAGTTAGGAGTTTAGAGGAAAATTTTTATTTTGGGTGTACATTTGAAACTTTTAGGCTTATGGTCTTGGTAGTTGGGGAAGGGGAGTCCCAAGACCAGGGAAAAGGGGGAAGAGCCCCCCCTCGGGAATAGACAGGTGGGGAAATGTAGGTTGTTTGTTGACAGGAATACTTATCTGCCATCCATTTGACCAGTGAGAGGTGGGTTCAAGTTGACTTCCTAAAGCTTACAAGAATTTTTAAGTTTCTGAAAGAGATAAAAGTTTTAGACGTATTAGCATTACCATTGTTTGTAATTGTCTGTACTAAAATTCAGGTTTTATTGTAGAAAGGGCAGTAGATTTATGTCTTTGAAACATAGTAAAAGTTTGGGAATCTAAAGCTGACTTTGGGTTAAAAGTATTAACAATTTTTCCGTAGGGCTGGATATACAGATTGGGCAGACTGTTTGCAACACACCGAAGCATTTTTAAGTTTATTTTTAAAAGACAAACAAAGAAAATTTAAAGTCTTAGGTTTGTGACTATTATAATAGAAGTATTTTATTAGGGTTAAATTAATAGTCTATCAGACTGCCATTGGTTAATATTACAATTGTGAACTTTTGAAGTTTTGGTGTGACAACAGCTTAGAGAGAGAAAGAAATCTGAAACAACATTTTGAATATCTTACTTTCTCAGACTCATCCTTCAAACCCCACAACTTCCTTAAGCTTTCATATCTTCAAGCCTCAAAGCACTGTTTTATAACTTACATTACAGACTTTTACACTAAGCTTTCATACCCTCGCACCTTCATGACTTGTATTTACTTACCTTAACACATTTTCTTAAACTGTCCTAACTTCAGACCTGTATAACTTGATGAGTGGGAAAGGTAGGTGGCCATGTAGAGGAGGTGCGGGAGCTATAAGGGATGAAAGGGCAGGTTGGCAGGCTGCCATGCCATGTGGACAGGGTTATTGCCTCAACTGACAATGGAGGGATCAATCTGATGTGCCTTGCAACGAACCAAGCCAATTTGAAAGAGTAAAAGAGAGGCTTTGACCTCCCTGACGATGGGCAAAGAGACACCTTGTTGCTGGTTCTCATATCAGTCAGGGGCAGCGCAGTCGGCAGTCCTTTGTTCATCCTGGCTTGATGCCTGGCTTGGTGCCCAAAGTTGTTTTATGCCTAGGATGCGTAAAAATCAAATCCAGGCAGGGCAGCACAGGAAGAGGAAGATAGGCAGAGACTTGCAGACCTCCATGCCACCCTCAGACCTGCCCTCCAGCACATGGCACAGGAGGACCATAGACACCACTTGTCACCATGCCACACAGAGCAGATGGAGGATATCACCAAGGAACCCACCAGCCACATGGCCAGCCTTCAGCAGGAACCACCACAGTGTGCAAGTATGTGGTGGGCAGATGGGAGAGAAAGAGACGTGAAGCACCTTGAAGTGATAGAGGTTCAGGGTGGAGAGAGTAGCCTGTAGTGAGTGGCCAGCCCTTCCACCTGGGGCCATAGTGAGGACCCAGCCAGAGCTGCTGCTGAGGGCCGTGACTGAGTCTGTGGTTACCCGGCTGCAGGGGTTGGTGTTGACATCTTCTATAGCTCATGCTACCATTAGAGAACATGGGGATGTCCCTGGTCAAGATAGCCACAAGGGACCATGTGAATGCCCAGGGGCTGTGCATAACTGGCCTGCCCCTCATGATTTCGGCACTCTGGAGAGATGGCCCCACTTCTCACTAAAGACAGAACTCGGGAGAGCTGGCCCTGGTGGCAGGGGTGTAGGTGAGCTAACACCAAGGACATGAGTGTGGGAGAGCTGACCCTGACATTCATGTGCCATGGGCAGCATGAATGCAGAGGTGATGCTGTCCCCTCTGCAGCCCCTCGCCACCTCCAGCAGGTGGGAAAGCTGCCCAGGGGACTTGAATTCACGAAAGCTGTCCCTGACCCTCACCAGCTTCAGCACTTAGGAGAGGTGGCCCTGTACCTTGTCTGAGCAGCACAGTAGATCTGTCCCTGGTGGCAGAGGGGCATGATGGGGGGGCACAAGTGAGCTAGCCACAAGAGTATGAGCTTAGGAGAGCCATCCCTGCCACCCCTCTGCTGTGAGGTGGCCTGGTCAGGGACAGATGCCCTTTGCCCCCTCCCCCCCCCTTGACACTTGAGACTGCACATTAGAGCTGGCCCTGGTGGAGGGGGCTCAGATGAGCTAGACCCAAGGAAAAGAGCATGGCGGACATGGCCACACCACTCACCTGGTGTGAGGTGACATGGGTGCAGAGGTGACGTCCATAGTATATACCCCTGCAGCTGTGTAGCCGCAGACTACACAGGCCCTCAATGACAGCTCTGGCTGGGACCTCATCATGACATCAGGTGGCAGGGTTGGCCACTCTGGCCCCCTTACTACCTGTAGTAGCTGGGAGAGCTGACCCTGGGGTCATGAGGGTAGGAAAGCTAGCCTTCCCGGCCCTGCACCTGGCCTGGCCAACACAGTGGAGCTGTCCCTGATGGCAAAGACACAGGTAAGCCAGTCAGAAGAATGTGAGAACAGAAGAACCGGCCAGGCCCCTCACAGGCTACAGCACTTTGGAGAGTAGGCCTTGCACCTTGACTGGGCAGCAAGTGCAGGTGGAGGTGAGGGTGAGCTGGGCCCCAGGGCATGAGAGCAGGAGAGCTGACCCTGCAACCTGCCTATGGTGACACTGGGTGGCCAAACCAGAGTAGTACTGGAGAGCTCTTGAAGAGCTCATCCTGGTGGTGGAGATAAGAGAGAGCAAGTGGGCTGACCAGCTCAGCTACCATTCAAGCCCCGATCCCGGGCTCTGAATTGGCACACCCCAACATCTATATTATCTGTGAATGGGCTAGTCCTGCTGTCCCAAAGCTGTAAGATTTCCATGACACAGGGCAACAACAGGATAATCGGGAGGAGTCCCAATGAGAATACAATATTGATGGTGTCATAGAAACCATAGACCTCAAACCAGACCAATGACTCATTGCAATGAATATTTGCAAGTAAAGATGTGTGGACCAAGGAATAGACTGTGAACACACTGCAAACACACTGGACGCACTATCGCTTCCATGATGAGATGTTTTCTATGCTTTGGTTTTATTGGTGTGTGTGTGTGTGTGTGTGTGTGTGTGTGTGTGTATGTATGTTTTATTTGGGGGTTACAAAATCGAAGAGAGGATATGAGGGAACAGAGAGATGAGCAGAACTGGAATGCATGATATGAAAATGACAGAGAATCAATCGAAAGCTATAAAAAAGTAAGAAAGCCTCCTTAAAAAAAGAGCGAGGCTATGAGGACATTATAGATACACGTAGAGTTAGTAACTGAGTTGTCTTTTGTGTGGGAAAGCCTCCTTCCTTCAGGTGGCTGAGTGTGTTGGCAGGATGTGGAAAGTTTATCTGAAGTCTGTACATGGTGACTTGGAACGCACTGATGAGAGTTATTAATTTTGTTGATTGGTAGTGTGTGGGGGTAAGGAGGTCACCTCAACATTGGCATCATCCAAGACCACTGCATGTCCTGTAGCACGGTAGCCATCTGACAGGAAGAGGCTGCCATCTGTGTAAAGTCTAGGCAGAACAGAAGAAGATGCATCTAGTCCTACTGCAACTTGATATGGAAGACCGGTTGGTATCCACGGGAGGCCTCCCCTTTTCTGAGGTGAAGGGGAGGCAGGATGGATGGGGAAGGGGAGGGGACAGGGGAGAATTAGGAGGAGAGAAGAGAGGAGATGCTGAAATCAGGATGCAAAGTAAATAAGTAATTAATATAAATAAACAAATAAATAGATTGATAGGAAGTTTGGAAGGGAAGGTTATGGAGGGGTTCTTGGATAATATTGGGAGGGGAAATAAAATGTATATATGATCAAGATACACTGCATACATGTATCATATTCACAATAGATAAATAAAAATTAATTTTAAAAAAAGTGTAGACAGAAGCAGTCAGAGGAATCTCTTGTGTATGTGTGAGGGATAGGGGAGGCAGTCTTCAAGAGCCTTTGAACAGGAGTGAAGAGGGACTGGGGGATGTTGGGGTAAATGGTAAGTGTGGAAGGACTGAGGGGATGACAGGTCAAAATTTGAGTGATGAGTTTCCCCTAAGAGAAGTTTGGAGGGATAGAATCCAAGATGGTGGAAGGGACTAGAGTCCTTTGTAAGTTAGGAGTTTAGGGAGAGAGAGTGGTGGGGTGGGGGGAGGAGTCCCAGAGATAAGTTGTGAGATTTAGAGATGAGCATAGAGGTTACAGCAAGAGCTTGCAGACAGGGAGGTCAGTCGAGGATGCTGATGTCTAGAATTTGGAAGAGATAAGAGAAAGGGCAAAGATCAGTCCTAGAAAATGTCTTAAGATCTCAAGGGCATGCCCTTGTGTTTTGAAAGTCTAAAGATGGTCTGCAGAGATCTGGGAGGTGGAGGCCAGGGCTAAAAGGAGAGCGTTTTGAAACTTGTTGGTTGGTTGGTTGGTTGGTTGGTTGGTTGGTTGGTTGGTTGGTTGGTTGACTGGTTGGCTGGTTGACTGGTTGGTTGGTTGGTTGGTTGGTTGGTTGGTTGTTTGGTTGACTGGTTGGCTGGTTGACTGGTTGGTTGGTTGACTGGTTGGTTTGGTTTTAGTTTTTCAAGTCAGGGTTTCTCTGTGCAGCCTTGCCTGCCCTGGAACTCACTCTGTAGACCAGGCTCTGTAAAGTCATAGGTCTTCTTGACTCTGCCTCCAGAGAGCTGGGATTAAAGGTATGCACCACCACTGCCCAGATGTGCTTTGGAGTTTGAAGAATTTTTTAATAGGAGGAAGAGGCTTGTGGGGAGCTCTAGAAGAACCTTGATAAAGAGGAGGTACCAGAAGTGAGTATCTATGGACTCATGAGTGGAAAAAAATTGGCCATTCCCAAAAAATGGAAGCAGTTTGGATTCTGTTGAGGGTGGAAATAAGAAGCAGAATGGACCAGGCGATCTAAAGTAGGGTGTCTATGGACTGAAGTGAGAGAGAATCCAGCATAGATGACATTGGAAGATGAAAGCAGAACTTTGAAAGGTGAGATCTGGAAACCTTTGGAGCCAAGAATATTGAGGAGTGAGACAGTGTCAGATTGGCTATTGGAGAAGGAAAGATTGAAAAGGAGGTCATCTACATTACTGAAGCAGGCAGACCAGGTCCATATGTCCCGGAAAGGAGCCCTATGGAAGGGAACGATAGGGTGGTGGGCAATGGCAGGGTTAATGAAGCAAAGGTCTTGGACCTGGCAGAAGGTTCAGTTAGGTTTCTGATGGTCAGTATGGGAGGTGTTATAAGGTAAAGAGGTGGGGTATAGAAACTGTGTGAATAAAGAGATTGAATGTTGGGTTTGAGGCCTCTAAGGATGCGGGTATTTAGGTTTGGAGATGTAAGCAAAGGGGTTTTTTAATGTAATAGAAGCTTTGAAATTCTTAGGAGATAGAGACTGTACAAATAGAGTCTGAGTAAAGGAAGAAGAGGGGATATATGAGTGTCTTGGGATCTGTTCTCAGGTAGAAGGCAAAATTCATGTCTGTTTTGGAAAAGATATCTCTTTTCAGTAAGAGATATGGCATGAGGGGCTGAGGAGAAAGGAGAAAAAGAAAAGACTTTGAGAGTTTGGAGGGGTCTGGAAGACTGGTTATGGACTCTATGAATGAGGGAGAGAGGTGAGGAGTGGAGTGAAAGAGGAATGTGATGAGGCCACTAACACAGGAAGTGAGATCCTAGGCTCCTGGAGACTGCTTGGTGTGGGTTTGGGCAGGCAGTCAATATCACCAGAGATCTGAGAAGGATAAATTATAGAAGGAGGTTGTGATGGCTATTGCTGGTTGTCAACTTGATTACATCTGGAATGAACTACAATTCAGAGATGGAAGGTACACCTGTGATCCAGATCATGAGGCTGGAAGACACAGGCTTCTGATCTGGATCTTGACATAGAGATCTTGGGGCATAGTGGCCATGAAAAGCTTAGGCCCAAACATGACTTTAATCCCAAGAGACTAAAGCAAGCAGATCTTTGAGTTCAAGGTCAGCTTGGGACAAAGAAAGTTCCAGATCCAGGAGTGTGTGGTACACACCTTTAATCTAAGCCACACCTTCTACTGGAGGCCTATGTGGGGCAGTGGGCTGTGAGAAGCAGCTGGGTGCCTGGTTGAGCAGAGGCCT